TTAGAATATCGATTTCGAATTCAAATTTCAATTTTAAGAAAAAAATGCCACTTTCTGGCTTATAATAAAGTTTCAAATGTAACGTTTATATTCAAATTTGTTATGATCTACAACAGTTAGGTAGTAATTGAGACGAATTATAATTCAATTACCGGCTACTACGTTCTTGTTTTAATAGATCAATATTCAACAAATATAATTAGAAATTATTTTAATTGTGAGAGGCTCCCTTGTGGGACGCATATGTACGATTACGGCGCGGCGGAAACAATATCTACCTGTGAAAAGACAAATTCGGGTAATTTGAGCTTATTTGTCCACACATTTGACACTGTCGTACCATATTGAAAATTCGCAGATTTAAAAGTACCTACATTAAACAAAAACAAAAACTACTGAAAAACACTGAAAAGTTCACTTCGGACTTGATTCCGACTTCAAACACACCGAAAGCTAAACGTAGTACGCTATAACGGATCATTGGCCATCGCGAGGGGTGGTGGGACGGACGGCTCATTTCATTCTGGAAGACTAGCAGCGACGTTGCCAATAGTTCTTTTAGTTGCCTAAAAATAAACTATTAATTTAATTAAGAAATTGAGATTTATTGATATCCGGTGAAGGTTTTAAAGTCACCTTTTCTGCAAATCAAACTAAGTAGATAGGCGCAAATTTGATGTGTGGCAATGTCGCCTTCTCTATCTCAGTTGGTTTTTACAGTACGTAGTCAACCTCCGAGTGTTTGATCCGGTTAAAATGCATAATGTGATATCTGTTCTTCCTAAATCTATGGGCTAAACTCTCGGAATTCTCGGACAGGCTTGCGGTACGCCAGCTACATCTCGGACAGGTTTTTTGTCACGAAATCGCACATAAAGTTGCGCATCTTTTTATTTTTTGAATCAACGCCTGTACACGCTCCCCTCACCACTTAAGGAGCATGCGTCCTTTTCTTATATATAACCTTTTCTTTTTTTTAGCATCTAATTTTCACAATTTAGCATCTTGGTTTCCTATATCATTAGTTTTAGTTTTAGTCATCTGCTGATGGTTAAAAGTGAAGTGTTTTGGTAAACTGATGTTTTATTTTGCTTCCATTTTTTTACTAAATAGTTTATTTCAATTATGTTATGAAGCCCTTGTTTTATAGTTATTTCGAAGCATTCTTACTTTTGGATTTTTTTATAAATCTGAATTTATATGTATTGTATTTTACTAAGAGTGAGTCCCAGGTGGGACCCTCCACTGAGGCCGCGAGGGCCTATTGTGGCTCAGTTTCTACAAGCTCTTTAATAGAAAAAAAGCATTAAAGTTCGCCCTCAAGACCCAGCCTTTTAACATAGGCCGTTATGTCCGAGGGTGATATGTCTTCTAGGTCTGATAAGTCTAGCGTGGGTTTGCCAAACACCTCAAACCTGGTCCTGCCCCCAGCGGGGCAGGTACACATAACGTGCTTCATTGTTTCGTCATCTTCCATACAGAGTCGGCATTCGGCGTCTTTTTTATATAAAATTTATATGAAAAGAACAACATTTTAATACTAAATGCCGAGAATAAAAAGTAAAGTATATGCGCTCTTATTTGCCATATCTTGATTTTGTGGTTTCAAAAATATGTAGTCAAAGTCTTCTATCCGCAACCGCAGTAACTTGGCAATGATTTACAATCTTGGAAAATATACATGTATTATTTTTTTCTAAAATTAACTGCGAATGCTAAACATTCCAAAATACTCTGCTGTCGCTAAACATCATCAGAGACAATTTATGTGGAAAAAGTATAATTATGCATTGAAGATTAATAGTTACGATTATTTTTTGGCTGGTAAATTTGCGATAAACGTGAAAAATATTTTCTGTCTGTTCCCGTCTAAAGTCGTTATTAATTTTTCTTTGGTTTTTATTATTTACTTGCTAAAACTCTTCGTTCATTCCTAGTTTTAATTTTTTTATTTTTATGTTTCTATTTACACGTGTTCAACCGGTATCAAGGAAGCCTTTGCCGCAAACTTTGCAATAAAGATCGTGAAACAGCAGGTTACATAATCTGTCATTGTGATTGCTCGCAAGGGATACACTCTATTCGGGAAAGTAAAACTAGAAACAGAGGAGCTACGTTCCCATCCAATTAAAGAACTGCCCGAGCTTTTTTTTGGTGAGGGTTGGTAAAAAACCTTTTATAGGCGAGTGGTGTTCGTTCCCATCACCATCTCGAGAGAGACGATCATAGAAACGAACTCCAAACAGTATGGGAGTCGAATTATAACCCACTAAAAAAGTCCACCTCCGAGGAGTCAGCTCCTCCTCTTCCCTTCACCGGAACAGCCGTATGGCATTACTTCGGGTTCGTACGTATCATATTTATTTTAGGATACTTCCACATATATAGCTTTTTCTTCTTTTCCTTTCTCTATTATTATTTCTTTCATAAATGCCCCTACCTTTCTCCATATTTCTCTGGTTTTGGACATTTTCATGATCAAGGTGTCCGAAGTTAATATTTCTACATCCGATAATAAGGCAGACTTTTTGTTTTCCCATCTTGGACAGCAGAACAACGTATGCTCGGCATCGTCGATTTCGTCGCAGCACATGCAGTTGCCATTTGGTATTTTCTTTATTCTGTGCATGAAGTCCATGAAGACTCCATGCCCGGAAAGAAACTGCGTAATGAAATAGTCCACATCTCCGTGTTTTTTACTAGTCCAGTCCTTCAAGTTGTGAATTAACTTTCTAGTCCACATTCTCTTTTCGGATACATCCCACTCCTCTTGCCATTTTTGATAAGTACTTCTTCGTTGCTGTTTTTTCACCTCATCGGTAATCTCTGCTTCAACATATAACTCTCGCTTTTCCTCAGCTACTAAATGCAGCGGGATCAGCCCAGCTATAACCAACACAGCATCTGTTGATATCCTACGATACGCTGAACAGATCCTTAGGGCCATTTTTCTCTGTGTGGAAAACAATATATATCTCTCGTTCGTCTGAATTTTTTTACCTCGACCCATACAGGAGCGCCGTATAGAATTATATTTCTCATTGATACCGCAAGAACTTCAATTTTTTTGAGGAGGGTCCTTTTAGGTTCGGAAGTAGTCCACATTTAGCTTTGACAGTTCTGTTTGCTTTTCCGCAAGCATCTTTTACCTGTTGACTGTAAGTTAGCCCTCTATCTAGTGTTATTCCGAGGTATTTTACTGTATTAGTTGGTTTAGCGTACTTTCTGCCGACTTTAAATTGTATATGACCTATCTTTGTCTTTCCAAAGGTATCGTCGAGACTCGTCTGGGAATGCCTAGGTGAACTGGAAGCTCTGGCTCGACGGAACAGAATTAAATTATTCTGGGTGCCGGGCCACAGCGGCATCCCAGGCAACGAAAAAGCCAATGAGCTAGCTAGGCAAGGATCATCGGCATCTTATCTTGGTCCAGAGCCAGTACTGGGAATACCCAAATGTATGGCCCGTAGTGCATTAAAACTCTGGATCAGGGAAAAGCAGAACGTCCACTGGAGAAACAGATAGGGGCACAGGCACAGCAAGGCTTTTATCCAAGGACCTAGCTCCAAAACCGCAAAAGAACTGCTAATGCTTAGCAGGAATAAATTGCGGATTACAACAGGCCTCTTGACAGGACATATGGCTGTCAAGTGTTACCTGAACAAGCTCAATCTGTATCAAGGAAGTCTTTGCTGCAGACTCTGCGATAAAGATCCTGAAACAGCGGAGCACATAATATGTCACTGCGAGGCTCTGGATCGCAAGCGACACTTTTATTTGGGAAAGCTAGGCTAGAACCGGAGGAACTATGCTCCCATCCTATCAAGGACCTGCATAAGTTAGTGCAGGGCACAGGGATAGGAGAATGGGTGCAGATATAGAAAGGGGACAAACACAATAGACCTCACAGGTCGCAGTGTTTCCGGCAGAGGACGGCCCCTTATTGTGAAAAAAAAATCTTTGTCTTTCGGTTTAGAAGAATAGCAGATGTTGTTTTCTCTGGTGCAATTTCTAACTGGTTTCGATTCATTCACAAGTATATATAGTGTAAAGCCTCTTCAGTTTTGCGTATCATTCCTTCGGAGGTTTCAGGTGTGGTTAATACAGCCAGATCATCTGGCGTAGCAGATTATTTTTACTCCTGGAGGTACTTTTATTTCCATTACGTAATCGTAAAGGATGTTCCAAAGGGTAGGACCCGAAACTGATCCCTGGAGTACGCCTCCCCCAACCTCTTCTTGGTGGTCTTTATCCAAATTAGATGTAGATTTATTTAATTCTCTTCATTTTTGTTCCATAAAATTTTTTGTGTGACCTACGGTTCCGCCAGAAAATTGAATCCAAATTTTTTTTGAGCTTTTCAAAAACGGTGCGGTGGGGGAGGCAAATTTTCGAATTTAAGCTTTTCGAGTGGACCACACACACGACTGGCAAAGTATGAGAGCGGGGGTAATTTGATGGGAGTTAAAGTGCCAGATTGGCTGTTCTAAAAGACTATTAAGTGGTATTAAGTACAAACAATCATCGGAATGTCACGAAGTTTTTAACAGGACACTGTCTCCTCAATGAAGATTGAAGCTGAGAAACAACGGCTAAAGCAGATTCTTTGGAGAAATGGGGAGACACTAGAACATCTCATTACTGAGTATGCCGCGACGACAACCATTCATGCCATAAACTTTGGTATGACTGATATTGGAGATGGAGAACTAACGTTTGCAAAACCGTGTTAGGTACTGGCTTTTCAAGCTTGGAGACTGTATGATAAGTTATAACTCAAGAAAAACGGTCACAATATATCTATAACACAAAGTAATCTACATTACGTCCATAAAGAAATTTGAAAATTCCTTAAAATGGTAGAAAACCAACGTACTAATTCCAAAATTAAAAACTGATTAACCCAAAAAGCGAAAAAAAAACACACACACGCTAAAGCGGATTAATCCTCCATAGCGTCCCGTTCTAAAAATACCCAAAATTCGTCTCCCGTACCGTCCGTCTCGCCTCACTCGAACCTTTGACGTGGTTAAAGTCCCGGGAGCGCCGACATCGCTTCAGTCCAGTTCTAACACCACTCGACGCCCGATTTTTTAGTGACTCCGACTCTTTTGCGTCGCCCTTTGCCGCCCCTTTTTGCATAAACCACCGCCAAAATGGTGTACGATTCCGATTTCTACACCACCAGAAGGCCGTACCGCTCGTCGCCGGCTTACTCCTCCTACACCACATCGGTAAGCTAGTAGTCCCTAGTTGGTTGTGTTGGTTTGGCTAAATATGGTTGTTTGAGCTTGACTAACTATTAAAGCGTGCTTTCATGAGTCAAGTGAATTTATCAAGTCACTTGAATTCAATTCACAGGAATGTAATATTACCGTCTAAACTCTAAACTTTTTCCAATAAAAAAATAACTTAAATTATATTGGTTTGGATCCACCACTATTTTTTGTAATCTCTAGAGTCTTCTAACTATAGCTTAGATATTAAATTAGCAGATGCACCATAAGTAATTCTGGTATATGCTTCTTTTGCATATTTTTTTTAGGCAATAAATTTTTTGTCAATTCTATTACCAAAATTATGGAAGTTTGAAGTACGCACGTTGCCATTTTACATCAACTAGCAGGAGCTTTTTGATATCAAATGTATAAACACAGAATATTATTTTAAGTCACTTGAACTCCTGTGACTTGATCAGTTCACTTGACTCGTGAACATCTACTGTAAGGTTTTCTATTGGTAAAGTCTGGTGATATTTTGTTATGATAAAATTATAGATATATTAATAGGAGAAATAACAAAGCTTTGCAAATAACAACTCTATTTACCAAGTTACTAGGCTCATATTTTTTATTCTTTGGACTTAATCATTAGACAACAAAACAACCGACATTTTTATTAGTTATTTAGTTTTTTTAACTAGTGTTTATTATTATATTGCACTACGTATTTTGAAAAACACTTAATGTTTCGCTCTATGTACAGGGTGTCTCATTTTGATTGAAACCGTACAGTATCTCCGTTAGTAGTGAAGATAGAAGAGTGCGGTTTGCACAAACCTGTCCCAGTTTTTTCTGAAACGGAAGATGCTTTAAGTAACATTTTCATAACCCTCTTCATTGCTGAGCTACAGGGTCTTTTTATCTTTTGGAATATTTTGCAATTTGGGACAACACCCAAATATATACAGGATTGTTCACCACATACGACACGGAATACTGTATCTAAACGATTAGATTTTTACAAATTGTAAGTTTTGGGTTCGTTGAAGGTGTATTAGAGCTACAATTTAAAAATATTTTTACAAGATACAGAGTGTCCCAAATAAGTAAAAAATATTATAGTTGTATTTTTTTAAATGGAACACCTTGTATATTATTCTATTTTTAGATTCTACGATTGAAATAAAGGTAAATTTGATTAAGGTGTATCACACTTAAACCTTACCGTTTTTGAAATATTTTCAATTTTATGAAATTGCAGTAAAAAAATTAAGGCTTTATTTCTCCAAGGGTATCAAAGTTTTTAATACTAAATATTTACTGAAGATTATTTATTGATCAGATATTGTGTTGCAATAATAAAAATTTTACTACCTTATACAGAATGTCCAAAAATTTATATTAAATAATTACTAGCTTTAAACGGCAATAACTTGTTTAATTTAAATGGAACACCCTATATATTTTACGTGAATCAGATGCACAATGTAATTGTCTATCAAATTGTATTGTTCCATTTTTTACCCATCTCTTCAAGTTTTCATAGAAAATGCATTTTCTTATAATTTAGACCTCATTTATCACTATACCCATGGAATATTGACATTTTAGCTTATTTTTAACGATGTGACAAATTTTCAAAGGTTACAGATACTAATATTGTCGATATAGTTCGCTTAGTTAATTAAAAAATAAAAATAAAACTGTTTAAATATTTTTTGTTAAAGAGGACCAATTAATATGCTCCCAGTATTCAAACTACGTTAAATTGACTGTTTACGTTAAAGTAATAACTGTTCCAAATACTAAAAAACTGAATTCTATGTGTGTATTAGACAGTGTGGTAAAAAGTAACACCTTATAAATTTTATTTCATTTATTGACGAATGCTTATTTATAAAAACAGAGATATTCATTTTCATAACTTATTATTATATTGATTTCTGAGCCAAATCCACATTTATTTAGAATAATTTATTAATTAAAACAATTTACAAGTATGTAATTAACTAACTTTTGGTGTTTTTTTGTAGGAAATAATGGTGGTATATTTAATTGGTATACTCTTTTACAAAGATTAAAATAGTTTTTTTTTTATGCCAATGGGCTTGCAATATTTACCACCTGTACATTTTGTACATATTATGGTGCTATAAAAAAATCTGAAATGTCAATATTCCATGGGTATAATGATAAATGAGGTCCAAATTATAACAAAACGCATTTTCTACGAAAACTTCAAGAGATGGGTGAAAAATGGTATAATACAATTTCATAGACAATTACATTGTACATCTGATTCACGTAAAATATATAGGGTGTTCCATTTAAATTAAACAAGTTATTGCAGTTTAAAGCTAGTAATTATTTAATATAAATTTTTGGACACTCTGTATAAGGTAGTAAAATTTTTATTATTGCAACACAATATCTGATCAATAAATAATCTTCAGTAAATATTTAGTATTAAAAACTTTGATACCCTGGGAGAAATAAAGCCTTAACATTTTTAATACAATTTCATAAAATTGAAAATATTTCAAAAACGGTAAGGTTTAAGTGTGATAAACCTTAATCAAATTTACCTTTATTTCAATCGTAGAATCCAAAAATAGAATAATATACAGGCCATTTAAAAAAATACAACTATAATATTTTTTACTTATTTGGGACACTCTGTATCTTGTAAAAATATTTTTCAATTGTAGCTCTAACAGACCTTCAACGAACCCAAAACTTACAATTTGTAAAAATCTAATCGTTTAGCTAAAATACTCCGTGTCGTATGTGGTGAACAACCCTGTACATATATGAAAACAGTAGGATTAGTCATGCCTAAGTTAAGAAAAAAACTGAAATTTTAGTGAGGATGCGATCAATAATCATCACATTGGCTAATAAAACTACTTTTCAATTTGTCAAGTTTTCGAGAAATTTATTCCCATTATCAGGACAGTTTGAATGAGTCAATTAAGAAAACGGCATCCTTTGCACAATAAGGCCTTACAAACTAACATCATTGAACATTGGAATCACGAAGAATTTTCTTGCTAAAAATAGCGATCATATGATTTATAAATATACAGGGTGTGTCATTTCAAAAAACATAACTTTAGTTCATATTTTCAAAAATATTTTTTAGTGGAAAAACAGACTACACCACTGTATTCTACGTAAAAAAATCTACAAGAATCAGTTTTCACCTTCTCGATATCTTTCACAGTAACGGATATACCGGGGCTGTCCCAAATTGCAAAATTTCCGAAAACACCCTGTAGCTCAGAAACGAAAAAAGTTATCAAGATTTTGTTTACAGTATCTTCCGTTTGACAAAAAAGTGGGACAGGTTTGTACAAACCACATCTTTACTAATAACGGAAATACCGTGTGATTTCAACGAGGATTTCAACCAAAATGGGACACCCTGTACAGTCAGTTGCAAATACAGGCAATACAGTCAGTTGCAAATCCGAAAATACTTCATAGAAGATTAATTAGTACTAAATTGCTGTAGTCTATTTCCATTGTTATCTTATAGGCTTAAATCCAGACCACTGATTTAAGATATTATATGCATGACTGAATGAATTTACTATATTTATACGCAATTTAGTTATTAATTTTTAGCAATCTATTTTTGGAATTTCTTTCTTTATTTTTTATACTTTAAATACTAGATATTTAATATCTAAATGGTATCAAATCAATCTAATCACACATAGGAATAACATCAGAATTTCACTAGGCTTTACTAATAGATTGTCTAATAACAATATAATGTCATTGTCTGTATATAAATCGTAATGATATCAATTTATTGATTAATTTTTGAAAAGTTAGTCAAAATTTAGATATAATTTATGTACTATAAACTATATTAACTAAATGACTATAACGACACACATTTTTAGCATGCAATGGCATTATTTTTAGCTACCTTATAGATACAATACACTCTCATATACAATAATATTAGAGTACACTATATTATTGACTTAGTAGTATTAGTTGGTAAAAATATGTGTAACGAAGGTCAAGTTTTGGATGACGTTATGTGGATGAAGTTTGGGGACTAAATTTATTTTGGAATATAACATTATACGGATATTAAAAAGTTCTTCCTTTTAAGATGTATTCACACAAACAGTCCAAGTTACGTTAAAAAATATATCGTTGGTTTTACTGATGTTAGAGACTGAGGGCAAACGGCAACAGAAATGAGAAGTGACTGGCGCGTGTGAATAGATCTTTATTGTGTAAACGTATAATACAACAAATATCCTTATTCCTGTAACACTCTCTTTATCCTAACCATAACAAAAACTCTTTCAGTGGGAAAAGGAAATTTCATTCAACACGTGGTCAAAGAAAATTATTTTTATATTGTGATATATGATCCATAGGTAGTAAATACACAAATATAAGTAAACAAATGACCACGTGGGCGCTATCTGGCATGTGTTATTATAGCGTCTCTGTTATTTTTTATGACGTTTGTTTCCATAATGACGTAGAAAAGTAAAAATACATCGTTTTTAAAATTAGGAATGAAGTAAGAGATGAAAAAGATGGATTACGTTTATGCCTATTTTCTATTGAGGATTATTTTAAAACATTATTTTTTCGAAGTACTTTCTATAGTTTGTTATGATGTCATTAAGTTTTGGTAACGTGCCAGTATCGTTTATATTCTAAACGTTTACAATTTATTGCTGTTTTTCAGTTAACAATAATATATTATTATTTTACAAAAGTCCAAAAAACTGCCAATTAACCTTTAGCCTCCAGTTGAATGCTATCATTCACAAGTAAAAGTTTGTTTCAAAATTAGTTGTGGAACTTTTATTGGCATAGTGTTAGCAAGTCAGTGAATGTGAGCTTTTACTAGTAATAGTCCAAGAGCCGGGTGCAAAAACATGCAAGAGTTTTCTGAAGGCTCTTATTTTCAATATCGATTGCATTTTAGTGTCAAAAAGTAAAAGTTCCAGTTTTGGGACACTTGGCGCCGAGAA